GAGAGAGAGAGAGACAGAGAAGGAGAAACGGAAGCGACGTCCTCAATCGAGCGACGTCGATTCATTGTCTGACGAATGCGATACCGTGACTACTTACAGAAGATATAGGGTGACCGTAAATTTGCGCTCACATTCTATTCTCTTCAGAGAATGCGACGTTCGCTCTTACATCTCTAAAATATCAAGAACGAGATTAATATATTCTGTAAAATTGAAATGACGCACATGAAATTTTAATTTCCAATGCAAACAGAACTCACGCAAAATCATTCGCGGACCATCGCCGGTAGTTCGCCATCCCGATAGCAAATTTTGTAAATTTTAAACAGCTCGATTCGATAATAACAATTGTATAAAAATGGAATCGTGATATTTTATGTGCAATTTTTATATGATGTATATTTTTATTAAATATATACACAAAAAAGTGTAATTATTTTTTATGTAATAAATATATTTATCAAAATTATGTGTTCATGTCTTGTACTCTTGTGCCTGCTGTCAGAATAAACGCGAATTTCCCGCGAATAAAATTCACATGACGGGGCAAATTGTAACGTAATAACATCGCTGTTGTAAAACGCAAAGTTCACTGTAGAATAGAAATGTCGGAAACGTGTAGAAGTGACTCTTATTCATATCGCGATGGCGTCTAAGCGGCTTACTTGATTCTATTCTTGGCGTGTCCAGAATAGAACTCTAAATCTAACGCTGCGCATAAGTACGAGCGATAATTTTTTTTACAAATATATGTTACCTAAATACGGGTGCAATAATGTAATTGCTTGCTTTATTTTTGGAGAACACGCGAAAGGATCTACCGATTATCCGCGCAACGAAATTTTGAAAATGAAAGACAGTACTCGGAGTGACATCTCGCGGCCTTTTCTAACAATTGTCTGTGCATTAAATTTGATCTGTGATTAAATTTTTTTCTAATAATTTTTTTTAACAGAGAGATTATTTGAGAAAAACCAAATTACAGTAAAAATAAAATTGAAAAGTTTAATAACTCTTGCGTTAAATAATTGAAAAGTTGGATTGGATTGAAGACACTTAAATCATCAACAATGAAAACTTTCCAAAAGAGAAAAAAGAGAGAAAAGCCGATTAGTTTAATGTAATTAATATATCAAGTGATAACATTTTGTTAATAGAATTATCAATTTTTTGTTGGTTGACACGTAGGAAACAACATTACATTAGGAACAAACAAGATTACGAATTTTGTTGTAAGCGATTCCGTCAGCTGAATTAATCGCCGATTAAGTTAATCAGAATTTAAGTTGTCCAAAGTTGATTAATGAAACTGAATAATGTATTATTTCTATGAATGTTAGATTAACTTTAATAATTAAAGAAATTTAAAACTTTCTTCTTCCTTTTTTGTAGCTCTAAAAGTTAGAAAATGTTAAATAATAAATTTCTAGATTGCTTTAAATCTCAGTCTAATCTCTCTCTTTTAATTTTTAAATAAGAATTAAAAAAAATGAAGAGTTAGATTCCACCACGTAGATTAACTTTAATCTCGGTTTAACGTACTTTATATCTTTTTCTAATTTCAAAGATTAAAAAAATAAAGAATAAACTTCCATCAATATAGATTAACTTTAATCTTGATTTAACTTGCTTTCCGTAGTTCTAAAAAAGTAGATAAAGACAAAAAGTAAAAACCTCAATCATCCAGATTAATTTTTAATCTCGGTTTAACTTATTTTTTATCTTTTTGTTTTCAAGGAAAAAAATAAAGAATAAAATAAATCTACTCTTCGAAATTAGTGTTAATCCACATTGGTGGTAGAAACGGACGATACCGGAGGAGGAGGAGGATAACCGAGTGAACCCTTCGTCACCTCGGGTCTCTCGCGAGAAGATTCTCCGCGCGCCTGTTAGATACCGCCGGCGCGGCGCGGAAGGAGAGCATCGCGTTGCATCACGTTGCGTCGCCTCTTCCTTCCATCTCGTTCGCGGCCTCGATGGATCGACAGATCGTTCGGCGGTATCGATCGGCGTACAGTCGAGTACAGTCTGTCAGATTTATTGGTCCTTGTCTCCGCGCGCGTTTCGCAGCACTCTCCTCCCACGGGAATCTCGACGGCGACACGAGTTATGCCAGCGCGACAATTATCGCGTTGCACGGCATATACGTAGCAACGTGCGTTACTCCGATCGCCGAGTCCACATCGTCGTCGTCGTCGTCGTCGTCGTCGTCGTCGTCGTCGTCATCATCGTCGTGTCGCAAGCTCGCAATCGTCCCGCAGGCTCGTTTCTGTCCTCCCCGTTCTGCCCCGTTCCCCGCCCCTTTCATCCCACCTGGAGAATTACAACAAACCACGAGCCATTTCGCTACCTCCTGGATCCCCGAGGGCAGACGTGTCTCTCCTCATGCAATCCGCGATGACGGAAACCAACGGGACCGCGAATCTCAATACAAAGAACGGCAACTTCATCTGTGGCGTAGTGGAAGGTATGTGCGAAGGAACGCGATCCGCGGCGCGATGGTGTGGCATCTCTCTTCTCTTATGGTGTGACATTGGTACGTCTTTCGTTTTCAGGTATTTAACATATTTTCGTTATTCACAGGTTTCTATGGACGACCATGGACCACCGAGCAACGAAAGGATCTTTTTCAAAAGTAAGGTCACATCACAAGTGTATTTATATCAAGAAAAAATTCACGAAGATGAAATATTAATGATAAACTTTTTTAAGAGACTGATAGTTTCTGCTATAAGCTAAAGTTATCTGCTTTTGATCCAGTGGCAAATTAACAAAAATAAATTTATATATATTTATCAGCAAATTCTTAGTAAATCTAACAATACTTTTTTGTTTAAATTTTTATTGACATTGATGCTAAGATATTTGAAATACTGTTATATTACCTTTTGATAATTTTTATATTATTTTACTTTTTATTAGAGCATAAGGAATTGTTTTTTACTCTTTGAATGCATTAATTTTTTTCTATCTATTTTGAATTATGTTAATATATTAATAATATATATTGATAATTGATTATTAATTATAAATTATGCTTACCAGGTTAAAGAAGTGGGGAATGGATTCTTACCTGTATGCACCGAAAGACGATTACAAACATCGTGCATATTGGAGAGATTTGTATACAGTAGAGGAAGCTGAACATCTGACTGGTTTAATCACAGCTGCTAGGGAATATGGAATAACTTTTTATTATGCTTTATCTCCGGGATTAGATATCACATATTCCAGTTCAAAAGAAGTCACTGCTTTGAAGAGGAAGCTGGAACAAGTCAGTCAATTTAGTTGTACAGCATTTGCATTATTATTCGACGATATAGAGCCAGAAATGAGTGAAGCTGATAAAGAAATATTTCAATCATTTGCACATGCTCAAGTATGTCATCTAAGTTTGTACATAATTACACATTTTTATATTTATATATTTTGTAATATATATTTTCTAATATCTCTCTTATTATTTATAGGTTTCTGTTACAAACGATATTTTCCAACATCTTGGCCAACCTCGTTTTCTTTTATGCCCTACACAATACTGCGCGACACGCGCTATGCCAAATGTCGCGTCTTCGGAGTATCTCAATACCCTTGGAAGCAAATTAGCTCAAGAAATTGATATAATGTGGACTGGACCTAAAGTTATATCGAGACTTTTAACTGTCGAGTCCATCGAAGAAATCACAGAAGTGCTCAGGCGACCACCCGTTATCTGGGATAATTTACATGCCAATGATTATGATCAGAAGAGGGTGTTTCTTGGACCGTATTCTGGTCGTTCTCCTGATCTTATACCTAAGCTTAGAGGAGTTTTAACTAATCCTAATTGCGAATATGGAGCGAATTTTATAGCAATTCATACATTAGCTCAATGGAGTAGATGTAATGTGGATGGAAAGAGAGATTTAAGTTTAAGTAAGATTTTCTCTATATTATATTTTATAAATTTTTCTTGTTTCTTATAAAATAGTCTTTAGAGAGAAAAAATATGTTGCAAGAGTAATTGGAAATCGAATTTGAGATTTATATTTTTCAACCAATCTGCTTTGTACATTTAATAATTTAGTGCAAGAACACAGAAAATAAGAATTATTCTCTATTGCAGATGATACTGTATCAGCAGACATTAAACTAGAAACCGAAACTGAGGATGGTGTTCTTGGCGAAGATGTTCCTTCGACATTATCGCCAAATATGTATCATCCTCGACATGCTCTGAAAAACGCAATTAGCGAATGGTTATTAGAATTTAATAAGAAGAAAGCAGCTTGGGGAGTAATAGCCAAGCCGCAACCGTGCGTCGCGCCTACGATACCTATCCCAATAATCCCTTCTGTGAATACGTGCATGAGTCTTACATCAACGACAACAACTACGGTTTCTGCCACGCCTACGGCTGGGACAATTCTAATCATCTTCAAGCATTGGCCGAAGTTTGCTCGAGTGTAACAGCTAGCGATAGTTTTGTGCAACCTCCATCTGGACCTGTGATGAATTCCTTAGTGTCAGATATAAAAGTTGTTAGCGAGCCTGTCCTGACTACGTTATCTACCAATATGAGTGGTGAACCACCCTCGACAGGATTATCTTCTATAGAACCTATGGACTGTAATACGACACCAAACAATTCGCCGGCGCACATAGCAAAAATTCCAGCGGAAGATGACGCTATGGTAGATAACACTTCTGTAAGTTGTTAAACATTTTTGAAAATTTGATTATGCATGTATAACCGAGTGATTCTATTTGTCAGACATGCAGTGAAGCTTCTGGAAGTATGCAAGTAGAAATGGATGGCACTTCTCCCACGGTCAATGGCACGCAAATGATTATAGAAAACGATAGCGAGAATCACGAGAGTTCCGATAATGCGGATGCGGTATCCCAGGAACCCGTGGATATCGAAAAACAACTTACACATGAGGACTTATCGCTTTTATGCGATCTATTTTACTTACCATTTGAGCATGGAGGTCAAGGAATTCAATTATTGCAAGAATTTAATTGGTTGAAAAGCAATGCTCATGTTGTTATGAAGAAGTCTAAAGAAGAAGAATCTGTGTCTGAATCAGACGTGAGTTGCATTGAAAGAAAATTTATTTATTTCAAAAATTTGCTATCTTTTTATATATATATATACATGTAATATATGTAATATATATGTATGTAACTAGATTGAAGAATGGCATCTTCGTGCAGCTAAATTGAATGATATGTGTAATGCGGTAAATAGATTATTCCAAAGACTCACGTATTGTAATAATCGTGAGTTATTGTACGATTTATATGCGTACGTATGGGATATGAGAGGTGTTGTGTCTCTTCTAAATAGTTACGTAAAATGGCTAGGTAAGTTGCATTTGATTCATATATGAAATATTATCTGATATATTGACAGTACTAAAAGTACATTACATTAAATGTTCTTCCGAACAATTTGTTTTTTCGAACTAAACAATTTTCCAACTAAACAATTAGCAAATAAAATTACAATGTAACAGTGATTTTATAATGAAAATAATTATTGTTTTTAAAAAGGTTTTTTTATAAATTTTTTAATAAATTTATATTAAAATTATTAAAATAATCTTCAAATTAAATAAATTTTTCTATTTTGAAATTAATTACTATTAATATTACATGCAATATTAATCCTTGTCAATTATCAGAAATATATGTGAAGCAAAATGAAAATTTTGATAAATATATAGTTTTGCTATTATTTTTATTATACATAAAGAAAGTCTGTTTGAAATGCTAGTATGCTGGTAAAGATATGCATGTGCAAGTCAATAATACTACTAATTCTTTTAATTTTAAGTATACACGCGAATATCTATTGGATATTCCAGTAACAATCAAATATTCAAATAGTTGTTCATCTTATAAAAATTTGCCTTTTCGAGCTTAAATTCAATTGAGTTTGAAATTACATCCATTGTACTGAAGACAAGTGCTGTTGTTGACTTCTCTCAGAAATATTATAATTTACTACTTATACTTATATTTCAGAACAAAAGTGTCTTGCGTATCGGTAAGTGAACGTTACCTTATTTTTTGTTACCTAATTTTATCTTTTTACAAGGAAAATCTTCTTTTTTAATAATTGGATTAATTTTAAGGTCAGTATGTACATAATAATATTTGCTAATCATAGTTGTTAAGATATGATTAAATTGTTTAATATTAACTTTATATGAAATTTTAACTAAAATCTTGAATCAATTATGTATTATAAACATTTAATATATTTAATACTAAGAATTTATATATACATATTACTTCTACAGAGCTAACAATATGATATATATTGTTATATTTCCTTGTAAATTGATATAATGCTGCGAAATCTTTTTTTACATATCTGTTTTCTGAAATCCGTAAATTACTGATTGATATATGATATATCTTATTTAATTTTTTTACAATATATTTAACATCGCTTATGTATGCTAGATAAGTGAAAAAATTTATTTGCTTTTTGCTTAAACAATATGTAATTGTTTTGGTATATCTAACACAATTATATAAAATATATTTTTTAAAAATTTGTTTAAAAAGAATAACTTTAATGAAATATTAACAGTGGATTCTTTTGTTTATTTATCGTGCTTATAATATATAATCTTATATAATTTTTAAAATTTACACATAGTATTAGTAAAAATTATCAGTAATATTCGGAAACGCACTTGCCACAATCTGCATATTCGTGAATACTTGATATGCATTTGTTTCTGCGCATTAGAAATAAATGCATCGCATTGTGCGCGTAGGGAAAACTTTGCCATAAGTCAGAATTATAACATACTTATATTTCTATTCACTGAATATTTTTAGAAGACAAAATATATGAATAGATAGAAATTAAATGAAATATATTATAATAAAATGAAATTAAATGAATGAAATATAATATAAGGTACATATTCATACAAATACATACAATTGACATTTATTTGATAATTTTTAGTTTTTTTATCTTCATTTTTATATCTTTTTGAAAACGATTCTGACTAATGGCCGCTGATTTATTTTAATGATTTTATATAGGCAAGCCACAACATCTATACATCTTTCTGTTTAATAAAATTATTACGCAAAATATATAGATAGATTAATATATAGATTTTATACCTTCCGAAAATTTAATATCTGTGTTTAAAATTATTTAATTCATCTATCTCATAAATGATGTACGATGATATTTCTAATTAAAAATATGAAATAAATTGATGTGGCTTTCCCATGCAATGGCGAAAAGATCATTTGTAGCAATGGCGAAAATGGTGATTTTATGAGATGACATTCAACAGCATCTTTATGGAGGATGAACAAATACTGGACATAAAAATAATTTTCTACCAGCTATTAACATATCAATCGACTTTCTTTACAGATAACGTGAAACAGGAGTTTGTTCTATTTTGTGTATGCTATTATATTAAAATTGTTCAGGTGGAAAATTGTATATAATTTATATTATCTATACATATTTTTCTGTAAATTATTTCTTTTGATTTAAAATTACTTATTGCAAAATTGTATTAAAGAAGTGTAAGATCTCTGAACATTCTCCTGTGAAATGTAAATGTATCAGGATCAGTATATAGCTTTGATTCATTTACTAACTCGCATTTCTGTGTTTTTTTGTCTTGTTGATAGCGTTTGGCAGATTCCCATCAACGATGACAACGTTTACCCAGGGCAGCTACACATGTATGCGGTTTAACAATCTTTTTGAGTAACACAGCAGAAAGCGCGCGAAATAACAAAGTTTCAAGCATTGCAGTGATAGTTGCATTTTTAAATTTTTGTTTGGGACTTTACAAAAGATGATATTGTCTCGTTTGACGCGAGCAAGAAATGTAGAAGCAGCGTTGCAACAGCTCGAAAAATCAATGTGCAACATGAAGCATATTTATTTTCGCGGTTTTGCTACATGATGGACATATTTTCTATAGCGCAAAGATTATACATATATATTCATGTTTATTCTTATTATTTTATATAAAATTATAATACGCTATTTGTTTTGTTTTATAGTTTTTCACACATCGCTATATTTTGATGATAATTTTAATATTAATATTTTTCTTTATTGGATTAATTTCTCATGCAATGTACAATAATTTATTGTTTGGATATAATTACTTATAAACCTCTTTTCTTTTATATATTTTTTGATTTGAAGAGATATAAATAGTTTACACACATATCAATTTTAACATATTTTCTCACATACACTTATCAATTTTAATATATTTTTGCGTTTTTGAAGTAGGTCCATCAAAGAATCACGTACAATTGGCACAATTTAGCAAACAGAAAGTTATAAACTCTTGAACATTTCCTGTCTGCAAATCGTGATCTTTGATCATTTGCGATAAGATATTTTGATTTGTAAATACATAACAATGTCCTATGGGTTAATAATGGTATTATGATATATAAAAATATCTATTTTTTTATCTTAAATGATCAATGTTCCTATGCTCCTTTTGCCAACTTGCCCAACTAATTTCTTTTACTTAGTTTCAGAAATATATTCTTCAGTCTCAGAAACCGTATTATTTTCAGGCGTGATAAGAATTTTATTTCAGGCGCATATTGGCAAACTGGACTATAATTTCACCTTTCCTAAATCCTAAATCTTAATCCAATGCTTCAAGAGTTTAGCATTGCGCGAGCTTTGGTGCAACATGTATGAAACTTTTGATTTTTTTTTCTATTTACACACTAATGTAACTTATCTATAAAAAATAGAATATTTTTATACAATTTAAAATTTCTTGAATTATACATAAACTTTTGGCTTTATATTATATATTCAATTAGATATATCTTCTGTAAAATTTACTTCTTTATTCAATTTTACTTCTTTGTTTTAAATCTGTAAAAATTGATGCACCTTAGTTATCCGATTGGAGATGTGAATAATTCTTTCTCTCATACTCCAATTGACATGGAACGAAAGAGTATTCCGAAATAAATGAGAGAAATGTGTGACATTTCCAATCGAATTGTACCTTTGCATGTTAAAGATTTAAGCAAAATTGATGCCCAGAGCAGTGGAGGCCAATTGAAATTAAACTACACGCATAACGCGCGAATTTAACTCCAGCTTTTCATGATTTATTAAAAGCGATTCTATGTCTTGGGATAGGGTTCTCAAGTGGTTGGAAAGAAACATTTATGAGCGGGGAACAAGAGCCATGGGTTTTTCGTGGTGGACTTACGGCTGATTTGCAGGTAATCAATCCTTTATATTCGTTTATATTGTAAGAATGATACGACGCATTGAAGAATATTATTTGTATGTTTAGAGATTAATTCCAGTCGATAGTGGCAATGATTTATTCGTCTATAAAGCACCGGAAGTGCCCAGTAGTAAAATATATACAATTCGGCCATATTTACCAAGTGATGAAGAAGCGGTTTATGCAGTGTGTAATCAAATTAATAATTGTACGGTCTCATCGGCTATAGCAGACAGGTCTGTATAATAATCAATATATCATTTATTTATCTTTTAAAATAAATTATTTTGAGTACATATTTGTCTATGTAGACTTATCGGAGGTTTCCTAACATTGAGTCCGGAATTATGTATGGTTGTTGAGGATGAAAATGGCGTAGCGGGTTATGCAGTAGCTACATTAAATGTAAAGTCATACAATCAGAAAATGTCTGTTTCATGGATTCCTGAGCTGCGAATGAAGTACCCCTTAGATAATAGCATTAGCGAGTTGCCACAAAATGTTCAGGTAAGGAAGTATTAATGATTTTATCTATATTTTATATATATTTTATTCATGGTACTGATAATTTTCAAATAAAAATTACAGGATGCCATTCAGTACTTCCATTCGTTTATTCCGGATGTATCGGAACAATTATGCAGACAGCACCCATCAAAACTTGCATGTGCTATATTACCAAGTGTGACAGATCAGTCTGTTTGTAAACGTTTAGTCACCTGCGTTCTTGCAGCTTTAAGAGCAAATGGTAAGAGCTTTTTATCGAAACTTGACGAAATAATAGAGAGCTTGATTTTTATCGAAAATTGATTACGCTTTTCAGAGTAGAAATACTAAATACCATTCAATGCTTTATGTTTCTAATGCATAAATATATATTTATTTCAGGCTCTTTTGGAGTACACACGACAATGTTATTAACAGATAAAGAATCTCACGAATTCTATGGCAAGTTAGGATTCGTTGATTTGAATCCAGCACATGAAGAATATCCTGGAATTAAAACTATGTGTAGAAGTTTCTAACAAAGAATTAACGCTCCCATGATCCTCGTCAACAAAGTATACTTACTTGGACCATCTCCTAAGAAAACGATGCTTTCTTAGGATAGCTTCTAAAACATAGAGATAGTAATAAAATTGAACGCCTTTATTCAAGACCTTTTAAAATGTAAGTATATGCAGTATGTCAGCGCGATAAATTAAAAAGTAAGTGTACTTTTTTGAGAATATTCGCGACCGGAAACATCAGTGTAATACACATTATATGCGATATAATCTTTCTCATAGTATCGAAACCTTTAAGCGTATTTGATACAAATGTATACATATGTATATATGTATATATATATATATATATATATATATATATATATATATATATATATATATAG